AACTATACACAGGAGAAGTTTGGAAGATTTTTTCTGCAGACCAGAACTTAGAAAGCCTTGTCTAATGTTAGATTTCCTTTTTGGCACGTGCTATGGTAATCCTAAGAATGAGAGTTTGCAAAGCACCTTTTTTCCAAGGGAAGGATTTGAGATGAATTCCATTAAACAAAGTGGCTTATTTGTACAGGATTAGAAGAGATGCCAGGATTGTAAGCATATATCAGCAGTGGCAAATAATTTATTGCCAGTGCTAGCAATATAACTCTCCTTCAGCTAGCACATCTTCAGGCAAACAAGGGAAATCCACCACCTGACTTATCATCGGAACAACTGAGTTCAGAGCGAAAACATAATCAGTAGAGAGATATATTTCCATTTGAAAATATTTAAATATCACTGTATTTAGCAGCCTTTTTCCAAAACATGTTCGTGTCTTTATATAGAAAGGACTTTTCTGGATCCCACAAACGTACACAATGTAGAGCACAGTATAGTAGAAACTATAGATGATAGTGAAATCAGTGTTCTTACTACTGTTACCCTTCTGAAAATTGCTTTTTTTCCTCCCCCCTTCTCTTCTTTCTAACAGAGGATGAACAGAGAGAGAAATCTGTCTCCCATCACACTGTTCAGCAGCTGATAGTGGAGAAGGAACAAGCTTTGGCAGATCTGAACTCAGTGGAGAAATCACTGGCAGATCTTTTCAGGAGATACGAAAAAATGAAAGAAGTATTGGAGGGCTTTCGGAAGGTGAGTCATGTTAAAGTCCCCTCCTGTGAAGAGCAAAGCTGAGCAGGCTTTCATGTGTACGGGTGCTGCTTAACAGGGGGCACGGCTTTGCTTCAGTCCAGTCTGACGTACCACATCAGACGGCAGTGTGCTGGGGGGAGGGAGAGCACGAAGGCTCGTTTCTGCTTTCGTTTTGGAATAGCTTCACAAAGAGGATTTTGCGCAAGAGTAACTTGCTCCCATCTGTGGCACTGTGGTTTCAATAGATGTCACAGAACTGCAGGACTTGAGCACCTGTCAGGGCTGGCTTCTGGACTGAGCGTTCTGTTGAAGCCTGGGGCGCAAACTCCTGGGGCCAGAGGTTATTTCTAAAGTGCATAACGTAACATAATCCTCATATGAAGGATTGCAGCCCTGTATCAAATGCAAACAGAAGAATTGTAAAGCTGTTTGCGTTGTGTAATACTGCTTCAGATGGCCTCTGTGGGGGGGTGTCAGTGTTAGACTGCAGCCCCTAAAATATCTGAATGTCACTCCCTCAAATAGGTGCCTGTCCTACACTTCAACCTCTTGGATTAAATTTAATGTAATCTTCTCATTTAAGAATGAAGAAGTGTTAAAGAAATGTGCGCAGGAATATTTATCACGAGTGAAGAAGGAGGAGCAGAGGTATCAAGCACTCAAAATTCATGCCGAGGAAAAACTGGACAGGTAATTAATTGTACACATCTCTTTTCCGGAGTTCGCGCTGCGGGAGGATTCCTGTGGCTGGACCTTGCATCCCAAACCTGCTCCTCCAGTGTGCAGAGCACAGGATGCTCTGTGATGGAGGGTGGGATGAAATGCTGTAATGAGAATTTCTGTAATGTGCTGGTGTTTCTTCCAGCTCCTGACCATATAGAACACCTTAAATTTCCATCTTTATCAAATGTCTTCATGTTTCTTTAACATATTTTCTAGGGAGGATTAAGAAAGAAGCCGTTAGCTAGGTTTATGCAGCTACAGAGTGTTGTGCTTAGATATATGTGCCTGCAGGCAGTATTCCTGCCCCCGGAGATCTGCTGCTGCCTCTGTGCTGTGTTATTGTCCCTGTGTCTGTCAACAGCACCGATCATACAAATGCTGCTCAGCTGTTTCCGTGCAGAGTCAGCCAGGCCGGCTGGCCCTGGTGACACCAGTTATCTGGGCTGGATCAGCCCAATTTGTGCTGGAGTGAGGAGGAATAGCAGCACAAAAGATCGTCCCAGATGTGCTCAGATAGTAACTCCTTAAGCCACTGTTAAGGAGTGAACATCAGGTTATAGCTTGAGAGAGTCATCTCTGGTTGATTTTTAAATTTTTTTTCACTATGCTTCCATGTGATGACCAATTAAGCATTTTAAACTGAATTTAATGGGATTTGAACTGAAATTAAGCCCTTCTAAACCAAGAGAGGGCAGATTTAGATGAGCTCTGAGGCAGAAATCCTTCCCTGTGCGGGGGGTGAGGCGCTGGCCCAGGGTGCCCAGAGCAGCTGTGGCTGCCCCCTCCCTGGAAGGGTTCAAGGCCAGGTTGGACGGGGCTGGGAGCACCCTGGGCTGGGGGAAGGGGGCCCTGCCCGGGGCAGGGAGTGGCACTGGATGGACTTTAAGGTGCCTTCCAACCCAAACCATGCTGTGGTTCTATGATTTCTAGAGGTTACATTCAGGACTCATTACAGTCCCCTAGACCCAAGAGATATTTCCAAGATGTCACAACAATTGATCAGTGCCTAAAATGAAGTAAGACTTGGATTTGCTTTCCAGCTGTTGCCTCAGCTGTAAGTTGAGTCTGTAAGAACTGGAGACCAGGTTTAGAAACAGGCATAAAACATTTCTACCTAAGTGATATTTGTGACCCCAGCACAGATATCTGAGAGAAGCATCAAGAGAACAACATAGATGTTATGAAAAGACTTTGCAGCCCCTGCTGAGCAAGAGAGGGAGTCATGTAAAAGTCTCTAGGGACAAGTCTCATAATACTTCCAGACATGCAGAAAGTAGCTCTGCCCTCACCAACCATCTGTTAAGATGCGGTCGCTCCTTCGATACCCTCTGTCCTTTCCTGTAGAGAACCCGACGTGACTAAAATCTGTGTTTTTCTAGAGCCAATGCTGAAATTGCACAAGTGAGAGGGAAGGCTCAGCAAGAGCAAGCAGCGTACCAAGCCAGCCTGCGTAAGGAGCAGCTGAAAGTGGACGCATTGGAAAGAACACTGGAACAAAAGGTAAATAGCAATTCAGTTCTCTTGACACAGAAGTCAACGGGATGAGCAAAATTAAGTGAAACTTCCCCAGGGTGGTTGCGTCCAGCTCTCCTCTGGAGCTCAGGCTGCAGGTCTGCCCAGGGACCTGTCTTCTCCTCACATCCAGCTCCCTGGCCCCAGGAGGGCAGCGTTGCCCAAACCTTGGAGCAAAATCAGCTGCGGGCAGGCGAGGCGAGCGGAGCCCTCTGCCAGGCTGTGATCCCAGCCCTGAGCCCGTGCTCGTGCCAGGCAGGGCCCTGGCTTTGCTTTGGTGCTCGGGTTTAAGCTCTTCTTGGTTTAGTTCTTCTTTCATTTTTCGTTTCCACTTTTAGTTTTAGCTGTGATTCCAGTGCTAGCTACGTGCCTCCACTGTTAACATAGGCTGAACGATCAGATGCAGATCTGTGCAGCCTAGGGCAAAAGTGACTGTAGGAAATCCCTATTTATATCTCCTCGTGTTCTCTAGCTCAGCAAAGAAGCTTGCTTTCAGTATAGAGCAGCTCATGCTTGCTTAGAGCCCCTGGAAAACAGGGTGAAAATAATGCTGTAAAAGTGCAGCCTAGAAACAAATTTACACTATGTATTATTGTGTGCTAGGAATGACTGCTATAAAGCTGTCTGCTTTAGTGCTAAATTGTATTTATTGAAGTCAGATGAACCGTATGTGGAAATAAGTAAGCATGTTCTTTGAATGCACTATACATAGCTGTACTATGTATGCATATATATATATATATATATATATCTGTCTATATATATAGATATTCTGTTCTCAGTATTGGAGAAAACTTAATTGTCCCACACTTCTCCCAAAGGTTGGATAATTTAAAAAAAAAAAAGAATACTTATTTTAATGCAGCTATATTTTTCATAATACTTAATATTGCCTTTTATTTTCCAGAATAAAGAGATAGAAGAATTAACAAAGATTTGTGATGAACTGATTGCCAAAATGGGGAAAAGCTAACTTTTAACCAAATTTCTGGACTTCAATATTGAGTGCAATATGACCATTGGCACACTGATGTCCATACATTTATGTGGACAGGTTATATTTTCACTTTTTCGTATGCACTACTGTATTTTCTTTCTAAATAAAGTTGATTTAATTGTATGCAGTACTAAGATGACTATCAGAATTTCTTGCTATTGTTTGCATTTTCATAGTATAATTCATAGCAAGTTGATCTCAAAGTTCCTGTATCAGGGAGATTGTCAAGTTCTCTAAGAAATTACAAATTGCTGATCCTAGCCTTCCCTTTGTACATGAGTTCCCATGTTGGATGTCTTTTGGATTTAATATAAACATGTATTACTTGCATGGGGACTCTTGCCTTAAGGAGTGTAAACTTTATCTGCATTTGCTGATTTGTAAAATAAAATTTAAAATGAAAAAAAAAATTGAAAATGCATGTCACTTAAATGAAATTCTCTATTGTAAATAAATTTTTTCGTTGAAAGTTGAAGATAAGTATGGCTCTGTTTTACAATATTTCACTTGCTTCATGTGCAGCACCAGATGCAGCAGCTCTTACTGATGAATTCCTTCGCAGAAAGCACTTCATGGGTCGCTGCTCAGAGCACTCCGTGGCTCACAAGTATATACTACTTATGTGCACATATCCATGGCTATATCTTGCTCTCTCTATAAATATATATGTATGTGCTAGATTTGGACCACTTGGGTCTCAAGCAAAGGCTTAATCCTACAAACTGTTTAACACTCTGACCTGGATCCCGCGAATCCTTAGGCCGGTGTAATGAGACTGTTCGCATGAGTTGGAGGCTGCGACGTGCGATGATGGGGTGGTGGTTTTTAAGCATATCTATCACCGAAAGGTGAATATATTTTCTTCGTTCTGCTACTGGAAGAATTTGCCTGCAGGGTTTGTGGAGATGAAGTACGTGTGATTAGAATTATCAACCAGAATAAGCTAGGTAAGTAGCATTCTTGCACACCTCTTTATCCCATAAGTTATCCTCTGCAGAGGATTAGGTATGTAAGATAAGCATTAAGGCTTTAATAGCAAGCAAACTGCTTTCTTTGGCTAATGGTACATCTCTTCTATCTCCATGATGTGGACAGTCTTCAGTCTGGTTCTTGTCAGCTCCCTTTTTGTACTCAAAAGTAAGTCAACTCCCATTTCTTCCCTCTTTTATTTCTTTTTCATTTCCTACCTCAGGTATGGCTGAGCCTCTTTGCTACTCTGGGCTTCTCTCCTGGGCTGGTTTAGTTTCAGATTACTTTGTGTATGTGGTTAGCAGCACAGAATTTCACCTCTGCTATGTAATGTGAACATAAATATGTATGCTAACAAGTATAAATGCATATGTCCCTGTGGACAGCAAGTGTGCCTTCTGCTCTGCAAATCTGAAGTATGGTATTTTAAATAGATTTCAAATTCGTGCATGACTTTGAAAATACCATGTAGTTTGAACCAAGGGAAAGAAAGAAGATCAAGTCATGGTTGTAATGTGATATTTAAACAAAAGCAAAACTCTTAAGATATACTGTTGTGCCTTCTAGCTGAATTGCTACTTTAGGAGAAAATGAAATATGGATTATATTAAGATTTTATGTGTTTACAATGTACTTGTTCATGGCACTGTGGAGATCATGAGGGAGGGGGAAAAAAACTATACTCCAACTTGTTGCAGTGGACTGCTCTGAAAATGTTACAAGAAGGTGTGGATGCAGTTACAGAACATCAGTTGTTCTTGGATTATTTAAAGTGCAAATTGTAACAACTAAATAATATATGATTGATTTTTTTTTTTTTAATCTTTAAAATCATTATCTGGACTACTTCTAAAAAAGAAAAATCGATAGGATTTTTGCAGATTCTTTAAACTTTTTTAAAAACTTTTACATTCTTTTGCATGTTCTTCAAACAAAATTAGAAAGTCTATGTAGCTGAAATTTTAAAATACTGTTTGTAAACTCTAAACACTACTGTTACAAGTGGTCTTTTTTTCCTTAACGCCAGGCGAGGCGCTGCAGTGTTACACCTGTGTAGGTTCTAGCGATGAAGACTGTAACAGACAAGGGACTCAGCAATGTCCGGGGCATTCGGATGCATGTGCGGTCATTAGAGGGCAAGCAAGTAAGTAGTCACAATCAGTTCAGACTCATTAAATTTTTGATAATAGAAAGAAATAATCAGTGTTGGAAAGAGAAGGGTATACTGTAAACTATGTAGAAAAAAAAAAAAAAAAGGTGAATGTTTCCTCTCCCTATTAATAAATCTCAGTCCCTAATTTTATTGGTTTAGCAGCAATTTGATAGAAAATCTCACTGAATATGATCTGTCAGTATGCCATGATGAGCTGTATCCACACCGTGTGAAAGCCGTAAAAAAGCATTTTGAGTATTGCCCACTTCTTAAATCTATCATTTTTAAGTTAAGTGGCTTACCTGGAAATTAGGAAGGCAAAGAAGCTAACGAGGCACTGCACCTGAGCACGTTCAGAGGTACTTCAGCTGCACCGGTTGCATCTAAGATAAATTATTTAACCGAAGCGGGGCCTTGTTAGGGTGCTGTAATGGGATGGAATTGCATTTATTGACTCGTAAGGAGCGGCCAAGCCTGCTGCTGTGGCTCTGTGTTGGCTGCTCAGGCTCGTGCGGGGGGGCTGCAGGCGGGGGCGGGTGCTGGTGGGCGCGCTGCCCACCAGTGTGGCTCTCTTGCAGGCGGCGTTATGAAGTCCTGTTCGTTCAGGTCCTTCTGCGAGCGGGCACGGAGGGACGGGTCCAGGGCGCCTGGGGTGAGCCTTCACTGCTGCTCCTCAGACGGCTGCAATGCAGACAGCCTGGCCGCAGGAGCCACCGCCTCCACCAGCTACTTCTCTCTCCTCGTCTTCACGCTGCTGTGGCACCCGTTGTTGAAGCTGACGTGAGGGGGGGGTGGTAAAAAAGAGTGCCCTGAAGCAACAAGTCTGCCTTTATAGAAAGGGATGATTATATCTCCTAATCATGTTATCCATGTACCGTATTTCTCTATTAGACCTGACGTTCGGGTAAAAATTGTTCCATCTGCTAAATATGTCTTGACCTGTATGTAAGAAACACTGCCCTTTTCTTGTTTATCATAAGGGGTTGATTGTGCAAATATGTAACATTTTCCTACAATTCAGATAGTACATGCAAAGAAGGGAGATCTTAACTGCAATTAGCCTTGCAGTAGGGTAAGGGACCAATATCTTCCAAATGCTGTTTACTGTTGGCAGACATTCAAAAGCAAGCTAAAATTTTTGAGCACAAAGTGACTGAAAATTCTAGCAAGCGAATTAGTCTTTCAGAGAACATTTGTCAACTGGACAAAGCCAGAAAACTTGAAATAAAGATGATTTAGTGTTAATACAAACTGGTAAGAGAAGGTCATTAAGAGAACAATGAATTGAGGTTTGTTATATTATGTATATTTCCTGGAAAAAATCCTTACAGTCTTCTCTTTCCTGATCCTTTGAGAATCTTACCACAACACTGGGAGAAAAAAAAGAGCTTGAGCGGGTAAGCTCCCTCCAAGGATCAGCTTGTTCTATCACTACTGCTGTTTTGAGAACGAGTGGTTAATCTCACTTTTGTAGGCAAATTATAACATCAGTAATAAGATTTTTGTTTATCCAAATTCTTGCTAGTTCAACTATGTAGTTAATTCTTCACTGTCCTAAACTTCATTCTTTGAGAGTAAGAGTATATATCCCCCCCTTCAATTATGTGATTGAGTTGATCTGTGATGGTTTATATGTCCTTTTCATTTTGCAAAGTGAATGGAATTACTTGAAGAGCTTTAGAGATGTAAGGAACTAAATCAGCATTTTTAATAGTCCCATTCATCACAGTCTAACCAAGTAAATGATCCAGAATGGGCCGCGTTGTAGAAGACATTGTGCATCACTAACTAGTAGGCAGACGGGCCTTTGAAGTGGTTATGTTGAACCTAGGCAAGATGAGAAGTGACAGAACAGACAATGTGATGGCACTAAGCGGGGTCTTGGGTCTGTGACATTGGAGAGCAGAGTGGTACCTCCTTTGATTCAAAACTCAGAGGGACAGGCAAGCAGCTCAGTGATATTTGTGGATTTTTAATGTCCAACTGTGATGATCTGGTCTAACCTCTGGCACACTGCATGCATAGGACTGGTTGGGGCAACTGAAGTAGAGGGGGTCTTTTGAGTTCTGGTATTAGTTGCCCACTTAGAAAAATATTTGGTCATCAAGCTTACAGAACTCACAAAACGTGGGAAAATAGTTTTTCCACTACCTTGTGTTGTGACTTCTTTTTCAGTAGAATTCTCCGAAAAATCAATTCTAGGCTGTGTGTCATACAGTTCTGCACGTTCACAAAAATTTTAGTAAGGTTGTGAACTCTAGAGCTGCTTCAAGTGAAATGGGTGAAACCTCCACGTAGAGTTTAACCCTAGCCTGCCTTGTAGCATTTGCCTGTCACACGGACCAAACTGCCTCCTTGTTTTATTGTACTCTTTCCTCTCTATGGATCCTTTCATCATCATATGTAGATTGTGGCTTCAGACTGGGACTATTCTCCTGCGGTTTTGTTCAAATGGGCTCTCAGACAAGGCGGTTGTGGTCTATGCTTAGTTGCTAGGCACAAGTCTGATAAAGCTGTTGAATATAAAGATTGCAACAGTGCAACATCTTGGCTGAGAATGTTAATTTAAAATTAAATACCTCATCTGTGTAAAAATCACTTAAGTTGGCTTAAGTGTTTTTCATTCCATTTTCAGCTTGTATCAGTTCCTTCAATCTCTTCTGCTACAGGAAATATGTATTGATTGTATCTTTATTTTCTGATCTGTAATGATAAATCTGTATTGAATGTAATCTCTGTATATGCTCAGTGCATTTCCTTAATGAGAAAATAAAATACATGCAATGGCTGACAATATCTCTTGATAAACACAAAACTGCATCCTTTAATTGGGATTTCCAGTTGCATCTGGTGGTTTGTTTTCCAGCAGGAATTCTGGTTTTTTTTTTTCTATGGGATGTAGTTCTTAAATCTGTTAGATAAAATAGCGGATGTTGATAGCTTTCTTACTGTGATATTTCCATGATAAAATAAGAAGGTAAGGCTCTATCCTCTTGACAAACACCATCTGTCGTTCCTGACTACAGCCAGGACTTGGAGCTTCAGGCAGCCCACAGCCTCCCACCGCCTCCGTTTGATTCCGCCACCCAGCACGTAACGGGCTGTGTTTTGCTTTTTATGGATCTGACATTTTTCCTGCCTAATTATGAACCTGAAGTGTGCATGCAAGTATATATCTAGAAATGATAAACGGTATTTATGGACTGATGATACCAGGGGGATTTCACAATGGTTCTTGGCATAAACATTAATAGGAGGACAAGCACAGAAAAAATGGAACAAACCAGAAGGATTATTTTTTAAAGCCCCATTAAAAATACAGAAAATATTTTAAAGTTTCCATTGCCGTGACTGTGCAGAGGTATTCCCAGCCATACGTAAAACAGAAAATATTTGTCTTTAGTTTGACTGTTCTGAAGTCTAATCATTCCCGGTGCAGTGGTGAACTCTTGCTGTCTTCCTTAATGTTGACAGACAGTTGGGGCAAAATAAGCAGAAACTGATGATGAAATGCCTTCTGCTGCAACTAAATATGAAAGGACTTCTTTTTCATCTCTTGTATTCATTGGATCTATGTAGTAGATCAGCTGGGTATGTAGTGGCTTTGAGTTTAATGCTATCTCTCACCTTCAAGAAAGGATCTCCAAGAGATTTGTGATTGCTGATTTATAAGTGAGAGAAACTGTCAATTATAACTATAGCTTGTAGGACTTACAAATAGCCCCAAATAATCATTTCCATGATTTCTTTATATCCTCTTGTTTTTGGCAGTACAGAAAGCTTTTTCTTATTTTCCCAGTCTTCTCAAAGACAACAAGAGCCCCTGGGACCTACTAAGAGGGCACATCTGAGCAAAGTGCCCCTGCATTTTCTCAAAGAGCATACATGCAAATGTACAACTTAAATTGTGTCGATATTCATCCACACCTGACTTTTCCCACAGTGAGAGCAAGGTCCCAAGCTGTCTTTGTTCTTGGTGAGGAATAAGCAATTCTGAAGGCTTGTGAAGATCTTTAAGTCAGAGAAGATTACCTCAATACTGGCTCTGCTATTTAATGAAAGAAATTTGAAGTACGTCTTGGTGTCACAGATCACAGTTTATTTTATAACATTTTTTTCATGTGAAATGTTAGTCATCTGGCTCTGTTCAGTAGGGATTAAAACAAACACCCTTGTACCTTGTGCTGTCATGTCTTTATGCACAACAAAAGCCCAACTGTGACAGTTTTCATCGTGAACATCACTCCAAAGGGTCTCAACCTTGCTGTACCCTATAGATGTTTAGGATGTAGCCTGGAGCTGTCGGCTGTGGCTGGTGGCTGCCCCTGGGGAGGAGTTTTATGCTTTTGGAGTCAGAAGTCCTGAAGGCAATTCATGGAGCTCAAGTTTATCACACTGCATACACATACACTCCCTCTTATCATCCAAAGCCAGCAGCACATGGGGTATTCCTAATTGGTAAATTTATGATGTGCTTAGATGTAGCATATTTATTCCCAACCAAGTGGAAAAAAATGATAACAGTGTTAATCCAAGTAACAGTGTATATAAAGAGTGTAGCTAGAAATTCATCATGTTGGTGGCGTAGGTACAAGTAAACTTTGTTAGCATCTGAACAAAACAAGGGAAAAGCCAATGTGAGATTCAGTTCAGAAAGAACCACAGAAGCAGCACGTGATACTTGGCAGTACGACTTTATGGAAAGTAGGTCTTGTCAAAAACATTTCATTTGAGGTTACAGATTTTTGCTGATAAAGGCAAATACATCGATTTTGCAACACATTTCAGATAAAATTGGAGTCGTGATTTACAGACAGAGTTCAGGAGCCAGAAGAGTGAAAGACTGCAAAAACAAATTCACAGCAGAAAATCAACCAAATGGTATCTTGGACAGAGGCAATCTCACATCATCTTCCTGCCAACCTCAGGATGTCACCGTAAGAAGTGTTACAAAAAGAAGGGGCTGTCTAAGTCCCAGCGTGTCAGCATCAAGATAGTCTTATATGTTGCCCTATATGTTGCCATAGGGACAGGTTTCCAAGGGATACAGGTAATGCACTTTTCTGGAACAAAACTAAAGCAGAGAAATGAGAGTGGGTAGATGGGGCTGAGCATTTTGCAGCCACCCAACCCTCCTCTGCTCCGCACTTAGCACCAGTAATTTGTGAAGGAGTGCACTATTACTAAAATTGCTTGCACCTTTTCTAGCAACCTGGTTTAGCCCAGCAGGCAATATTTCTTTCAGAAGCTGCCCTTTTAGGTGCTAGCTCAAAGGTCTTCTGAGATAATGTTTGAAAGGTGAAGGGGAATTTCTCACTTGAAGTTGTTTCCCCTTTCTGAAGACTTCCTTCCCTTCATCCTCACCAAAAATGCTTTTCATTTTGGCTTTAAACACTCAAGGGGGGGAGGTGTTTGAACACTGGCAGAGGCTTGGCCAAAAAATTAAGGCTGGTGTTCAAATGCAGTCACTGATTCCTACCGCTTTCATTAGAGACGTATGCCATCTTATTTTAAGCAATGCTGGTCACCTTCAGTTTCTGATTTTCAGTGCAAAAAGGTCAGAGTCTGCAGAACTGACCTGGAGCTCAGATGGACAGGCTGGCATCTCTTCACCGTGTCAGAGCCTGATTTTGCTCAAAGACAAATTTTTCATGCAGGGTTTTGCTCCTGTGCTCTCTCAACCTTCACAGAGCTTTTGCAATCTTGAGGATGCTTTGTCTCCCTTTAGCAACTTGTTCCTATCCCCCTTTGAAGCTTGTGGAGAACTGTTATCAAATGAAAAGAAAATATCTAAAAGTATGTATTTATTAAGTTCTCATGTATAGGTGTCCGTGGAATTAAATTTCTAATAGCATAATAATCTCTAAACTGCATCTTCCAACTCTTTTGATGATTACTGATTTCAGTCTTTATCATCATGATAGGTTTCGCTCTATTTTATGATGAGTATATGAAGACTTAATGGCTAAGGCCTATACAAGCCAGCTCCAGAGAAAAACTCCTGCCCCACCATCAGGCATGCATGCCAGAAACCTAGAAGCTGAGTTTAAAGCAGGATCCATTTAAATCACGGTCAGTTGTGTGCAGCCCTTGGCAGGGCTGCAGAGCCGAGGGTTAGGCCACACTTTTAAATCCACTGTCACAGAAGAGAAATAAGCACCTTTGCAGTATCAGATAGGCTCAGTGCTTTTTTGCAGTCTCACCCCTGTGTTTCACTGCCTCTGTAAAAGCTGCTACCACCAGCTGTACATGGGCAGGTAAGAGCAGTTAGTGACAACCCCTGTCTTTCCCCTCGTTTAGTTGTTCTAAGGGTTAAGCTTTACTTTTGGGAGCTGTCTTTTGGGACTTTTTTTTTTTTTTTTTTTGCACTCTACTGTTAACAGTGCTTATGTGTATTTGGCAGTCTCCATCACTTCAGTTTCCACATTCTCTCAGCCAGTTATGACTCCTTGTATTGGATAAACATGTCTGGTTTTGTTAAATGCTCAGTTTCAATGAATATCACTGTGGAAAGAGAAAATTAGCTACCAGGGTGAAGCAAATCCATGAGTGGGGCAGTTAACTGAGCCAGGAAAAATGTTCATCGAGAAGTCATCCGAGCAGGGCTGTGCCCGTGGGGCATTGGCAGCGGGTTTGTTAGCATTCCTGTAATCAAGCATAAGAGGAGCTCATGTAGAGAGAGATCTACCAGGCTGCTTTGCTTTTGGTGATGTTTGTGCAGCAGATGAAAACAAATGGTTTGTCCCTGGGTTGGTTCGGTTATCTCTCCCCAAGGCTTAGGGCAGGGAGGAGCTTCTGCTAAAGTGCCTTCCCGATGCAGCTCTACTCTGTTGATTTTTTCTACATTTAGTAGATCTTCCTTCTGAATCCCAGCACAGCCACGAGGTTAAAACCCCAGCCCCAAGATAGATGTGTTTGAGAAAAAAATCTGTGTATTTTCACAGTGCAGTGCTCTTGAAATGAGGGTGGTTTTGCAGTCAAGCGGGTTTCACTAATTGGTGGCAATTTCAGCTGTGATATTTTAGGAACTGTGCAAGCCAATAAGGCTTTCAGAGCTGGCCTCGATGAGACTCTTCTGAGGATGCTGACAAGTAGGGGGGGAAAAAGAAAACTTTGCTTTGACACCTCCCATTAATATTCGAGAGAAGCAGTCCCTGAAAAAGCCATCTTCTGCCTACTTTAAAAATGAGGATTCCTTGAGGAAACTGAAAATAATACTTTGGTGATGAATGATCAACAGTCTAGTGATCTCATCTGATCTATACTTTAACATAGCTTATCCAAAGCTTTTTATGCTTATCCAAGCTTTGGCTCCAGCCCACACTGCAAACCCGAGCTATTTGGGGCAAATCCTGGTGACCTCTCTTTCAGCTTGTTCTCATCAGGAGGATGAAGAGAGGATTGGAGGCCACGGATGGAGTGTTCCAAGCCAGCAAATAAAACAATCCTCTTTGTCTTGGAGCTGATTTCTAAGTCTTGGTGTGCTTGAGGATCTTTCTGTGCCCAGTCTCAGAGACCAGTTCTCCAAGAGACAGATGGCCTGCAGGCTGCTTTGGTCTGGAGAAATAGAAAGTCAGCCACAGCGCTTAAAATAGTTCTTAAAATAGTTCTCTCTCCTTTTTTTTTTTTTTTTTTTTTTTTTTTTTTTCTTCTCCCCCTTAAACAATTTTGCTCTAGATTTGCCCAGCAGCTACAGAAGCATTTTCACTTGTGTTATTTTCATAACTGGGAAACTGAAGTCAAGGTGGCCACGAGCCCCAGTCAGGCAGAGGAGATGGGATTGGAGCCGACGGC